CGCTCGATATGTACTCAGAGAGCCGCGAACGCCTCAGCCGCGCCAGACGGGTGAATAAAATCACGCTATTCCTGGTGACGAAGCCCGCACGTCACTCGTGACCTCGGCGACGGGTCCGGAAAAAAAAACTGATAGGGCGCGTCTATTCTGGTCGTCTTTCGGCCGGGTGGCTATGCTAAGTCGCCGGGTCGATGGGGCCGCCTGTTTGCTGACGGACTGTTATCAGTCTGGTGGATCGTGATACGATCGCACGGGCTGGAAACCCTCACGGCACCTGCACGAAACACGCCTACTAAGAGCGCAAATGGAAGTGCTCGAACCGCGCTCGGGTTTGCCGTGTTTGGAGGGGGCTTGCGATCTACTCGACTCGGATGACTCCTTAGATTGACTCACTAGAGCGTCACTCGCTCCCTCGACTGTCACGAATCGCTAGACTCACCGTCACGACTCCCTCGATTTTCTCGACTCCTCTCACGCGACTCAGTCGCCTCTATCGTGACTCCCTCGGCCGCTGTCACGACCATCAACTCACTCTCGGTGTCTCACTCTCCCCTCTCTCGTCTCGCCCTCATACCCTCTCTCCCCATCACTGTCTGCTTTGACTCAGTCCAATAACGTTCCGGTCGCCTGGAGGCTTTGCAGTACGTGTCTTCCGCTGGAGCGAGCTGCAGCTGAGGTGGCGCAGTCAGCTGATCCGACACCGGGGGGGGAGGGGGGAGGGGAGGGTAGAGCGTCGACCCGAGTGAGCGCGGTCGATACGGGTCGGCCAGCGCTGCGTTTAGCGCGGAATTATAGCCACACGGTTCATGGTACTGGCAAGATTAAGATAGTTCGTTCTACGTAGTTGAATTGTCTTTATGAGGCTGGCAAAAGTTTAACCACCGAGCGCTGGTGTCATTAGCTTCAAGCGATGTGGAGATTGCCAGGTCGTGAATCAAAGGTCATGCGTGCGATATTACATGATTGTGATGGAATTAAGAAACGATTTTTTCTGGCATCCTGTGTGTCTTCAATAGTAAACAGTCAAGCAAACAATATCTCAACACGAAATAGTTAGTCATTCACAAGTGCCGTATATAAATTTATAGGTACTCGGCTAACCATAGCTGAAAATTAAATCGAGGTACCTTATAGCATAGTGACATGAAACAATTTGGAGCCCTGCCTTGTATCCCAGCCATATACCAATACCTACTTCTTTTTTATTTCATTCATTCGGGGTCGGCTACATTCGGGGCTAGCTGCAGAAATATGTCAGTTTCTCGTTCATGAATGTTGGTATGTTTCTCAAATTCCGAGACGTGATCTTGTGGAAAGAAATGGAAGTGGCATGTCAATTAACGATCTCTCCGTCGGCCCGATTCCTGGAAACGTGTCCCGACTGTCTGGAAACGGCGACGTCACCGACTTCCTCGGGCCGCCTTTCAGCTGGTCTGTTAAAATTCCGCCGCGACCGATTGTGTCGCGGCGCGGCGGACCGGATGCCGTCCACGACCCCGAAGGCCGCCGCACTATGGTTGGAAACGGCCTCACGGATGGCCGTGGGCAATTTCGGAATATATGTATATTTGGGGTGTCATTCTGTTGGAAATTGATGAAATGTTTTGAATTGGGCAGCAAAAATTATTTAGTTGCGCATTTAGTCTCCATTATTGTACGTGGAATCGGGAGTTCCTGATAGTGACTTTTTTGGTGCGCCGTCAAAGGTTTAAACAACCGCGCTGTTGATAGCATGTGGAGTACCTCCATGACGTTGTAAAACTGGATTATTATATATCAAAATAATCCTTGTTATGTTGGCTATCGAGTGGAGTGACTCTTTTTCCCATGCGTGTTCAAAATCAGGAACGGCATTGCATTCTGTTTGCAGTGTCACCACAGCAATATTTGCAAAATTACGTTTATGTTTCATTTGACATACAAAAAGTTCTCCATCGACCTCCATTGAGCTTTTTGGCAGAATAAATCTCTGTTCAATTCTGCGTTAGGGGAACGTAAAAGCAGACTGCGCACTTGTGCGCAAAATCGTCCATGAAGCTTCATCTCCCGAGGCGTACCTACCCGTCGCTTCGTTAGCACCAGGTCGGCTCGTCAGTCTTGCAATCGCTTATCCTTATAAATGATGGTAAGAAGCAGGGTTGCGGAGTCGTGGTGGCGCCAAATCCGACTCCGACTACGACTCCGACTCCTGACTCGTTGCCATGACTCCGGCCGACTCTGTCTCCGACTCCGGACCCCTGCCAGTGTTTCGGAGTCGTGATGGAGCTGTTCCGATTCGGACCGACTCCGACTTCCACTGCGGGCTCCTGACCGACCCCGACTCCGACTCCGACTCCTGGCTCGTTGCCACGACTCTGGGCGACTCTGACTCCGACTCTGACTTCGACTCCGCACCCCTCGTAAGAAGTAACTGCTCACCCCTGCACCTGGAGTATGGATATCGTGCAAACGTGTATGGATATCCTGGAGTATGGATATGGATATCCACCGACAGAGCAGACATACAGACATGCTGTAAACGCCATTACACTGCCAATACCATGGCAAATCAAATGGCTATCTATGGTTTTTGATCATCGTTCTACATTTTCCAAAATCTTGAACTGAATGTTGGCAATTTCTCGTGACTACTTCACGACCATGACGCATGCATTTCTGAAATTGATCTTTTTTCAACCAGCCAGGTACTCGTATGATAAAATGAATGTCACCATCGTGTTCTACGCCCAAAAGTACCCATAAAACATGTGTCATGCATGGGCTGCGAATAGGTACCAGTTTTAATTTTCGGGGTTATGTGCTTACCTGATTGACCTGACTTTGACCCTGGCCAGTGGCCTATGTTTGACTGACCCCTACATTGATCTGACACTCTTTTAGCACTTATATGAAGGGTTGTGACAGTTGTGACAGTTGTGACAGATTGTTTAGGACCAACTGATGACTGAATTTATTTAGGACCAACTGATGACGATATAATCGAAACGCGAAACGCGAGGCACCGATTGCGAGGTTCTAAAGTCCATGCTACTGAAAGCCCGATTTCAAGTGTTTGACCTGACTTTGACCCGACCTGTGACCTCGAAATTCAGCTTTAAAGTATTCATGTGAATCGTCTCGTCGCGTTCTTCTTTCGTTTGCCGCGCCTCGTGCGTTTCGCTGCGCCTATTTGTTCGCGAGTTATCGGCTGGGGGCGTTGAACGCCCCCCCCCCCCCGGCAAACGGCGGATGGGGAAATACCCCAGCAACTGCCGGGTTAATCTGACGCATGTTTTGTCATTTGATCGCGCGTCATTTTATTTCTTACTTTTTTGCCCAATCTAAAAAAAATCATAAATACTCTTTCTCCAAATTTTTGACCCTTTATGACCAATAGTAAGACACTGTGCGTCACTACGTTGATATTTCTCGCGCTAAAGCATAACAACAATATCCATTCAGTAATAGCAGTATTCAAAACATGTTCAAAATGCCTCGCGATATCGATAACATAACGAAAGACATAGGCGACTTATAACATACTTGCAATGATGACGTCACACATGCGTGACGTGACGTGACCTCGTCATTTCTGAGTTACTGTATGATGCACGAAAGAGACTGGTATACCTATGCAAAGTTTCATCGCAGTCGGTCTACGCATTAACAAGTTATGGGCAAAACATTTTTTCGCGTTGACCCCCGGCCATCCGTGAGGCCGTTTCCAACCATAGTGCGCCGCGCCGCCGCCGCCGCCGCCAATTAATGCCGCTCACGGCCGGTGTCGGTCGGCGGCAGGTCTGTCAGCTGACCCGGAGCCGTGTCAGCCGTCCCGGCGACCTCCGCAGCCGCCTTCACCTCTGGCCCGACCCCTGACACAACAGCTCGTCGGGGCGCCGCGCCCGGGCCCACCCGCCGCCCGCGCTCCACCCAGTGCGAGCTCGTCCCTGCCTCCCCTCCGTGCGAGAGCGCTGGGTCGTCCCCGCCGCCAGGCCTCGGAGACAGGGAGCCGCTTGCCATAGCGGAAACACTGAGCCCTCTGTGACGAAATGAGGGAACTTTCTGTAACGAAATGGAACTCAGCTCCCTGGGTGGTCCTCCTATTTACTAATGTGACGAGTCTCCCCTTGACTAGGTGAGAGATCAATTGGCGTTGGTCCAACAGGATATGATGCTATGCTTGATCTGCAGCTCTAACTCGCTGACAACTTCATTTGCTCTCGTTGGCGACCGGACCGGCCTGTCGCCCCGTACAATGCCGGGTCGTTTCGTCACTACAATGTAAATCCACCGTACTGCCTGGAAATGGCTCAAGTTTCGGCTGTCCGTCCAACTTTAGTAATAAAGCGCCGCGCCGAGCCCCGAAAAAGACGTGCCCGGCGAAGTTTGGCGGTGCTGGGTGGGTCGGGTCGCTACTGCCTCGCGTGGGGCGGAGACTGCGAGGTCAGGGTGGCCGTACCGGCTCGGGTCAGGTCGGTCAGGTCGCGTTGCGTCACCTGATCGGACACTGGCTCGTTTGTGTGGAATTGTAGGCACGACTGGCCGGTATTCAGAACTCTGGCTCGATCTAGGTCAATGATCAGCTGCCGGTCGAGGGCGGACAGCGGACTGATCAGAGGAAATTGGTTGTCGTTTACTTCGATCCTGATACCGAATTGATACGGCAGATGACATCAGACGTTAAGCTCATCATCATACGCTGACTTGTGTGCCATACCACTGACATCATGGCTCGGAGCCGCTTTCGCTAACATATGTAAACACCATCGAGCTGGGGGAGCCTGTCACGCGTGACGCGTTCTCTGTGACCTTTGACTGTCAAGCCCAACCAATAGATCACGAGCTGCCAGCTGTGACACTTGTTCAGTGATCCGTGACCTGCAAATTTTCGGTGATTTGTGACTCGTGTCAATTACTGTGACCTATTACCGGAAATCGCTGTATGCCCCTTTGATTGCATCAGCTGCACCAGCCTCCGTGATGTTGCAAATCATTGACCCATTCTTTCTCTGTTGTTGCAGACTAAGAAGCACCCGCTGAACCACATCAAGCGTCCCATGAACGCCTTCATGGTCTGGTCACAAATCGAGCGCCGTAAGATCATCGAGGTCACCCCCGACATGCACAACGCGGAGATCTCCAAGGAGCTGGGCCGGCGCTGGAAGCTGCTCAGTGACGCGCAGCGCGCGCCCTTCCACGAGATCTCCAAGAGGCTCAAAGAGTACCACCAGCGCGAGTTTCCCGACTACAAATACCGGCCGCGCAAGAAGACGATCAAGCCCGGTCAGACTAAAACCACCGAGAGGACGCGGTCCAAGGCACGAGCGGTAGCTTCGACAGGCTTCAAGGCGGTGGTGAACAACTCGGGAGCCTCGCGCTCCCGCATCACACAGACGGCGGGTACCTTCGCGCCGGTCAACCACCAGAGGCTGAAGTTGAAGCTGACAATCGACAGCAAGTTCAAGGAGAGCGTCAAGGGCAACAAGTCTGGACTGGTATCGGTGACGCCCCGCTCCCCTGCTGCCACACCGCCTCCGCCTACTCAACAGCGCTCCAAGCGACCCTCCACGCCGGCGAAGCGGCCCTCCACGCCACCGAAGCGGCCGTCGAGCTCCGCCTCGTCCCGCTCGACACGCTCCTCGTCGGCACGCTCCAGTCCGACGGGCGTCCCGACGAGTCCGTCGACGGTGATGCCCGACTCTCCCGAGTCAGCCACCATGTTCGACGAGCCGGCGTTCACGGTGAAGACGGAGGCCTCGGACCTGTACGACTTCATGGTTGGCTCGCCGTCCTCCACTTCGCCCGTCGATCCGGTCGCCGACGACTCGACGCTGGTGAAGAGCGAGCCTCTGGATCCACTGCGTGTCGATCCGGATGGCTTGGATGAGTTGCTGCAGCTCAAGGTGGCTGACCTGGTCTCCGACCTCGACATGCCGCTCGAGTCGTTCGGCGCAGATCTCGACCTGGACAGTATGTCAGTGGCCAGCAGCTCCGGCTCGCACCTGGAGTTCAAGTACGACTCGGATGTGCTCTGCAGCCTGGGGGACTTCCGCGACCCGTGGGCCGACGAGCCGCCCTTCCGCGACCTCGTCAACTGCTGAACGCGGCGTGCGAGTGCGCTGTGGCCGCGCCGCGACGCGCGCGCGCGCGGCACGGCTGTGAGCGGGTGTTGGCGAACCGGTCTGCTTGTTGGAAGAGGCCTTACCTGTGCGTGTGCGAGTGTGTCTGGTTCCCGGGCCGCGCTTCATCGCTTCCGTTAGCGTTGCGCTGGCATATCAAGTCGCGTCATTGGATGCCAACTGGGTCTCACTGGGGCACAAGCTAGTCGACAAAGCGCGACGCGGACGGCCCGCCCGTCCTTTTCGCACAGTTCCGTGAACGCCAAATCAAACCCACTCCAATAATTTGGGCATTCGTGGTGCGCCGCCCGTCCATGTCAACTTCTCTACCTTCCGATGCCTTGACACGATCGCTTGTGCCATGACTGTACCACAGTTTCCATATACGGTAATAGCCCGCAGTACAAACACCCTCGATCCCCAGACGATCTCAGCGCGGCGGAGACGTCCGCCGGCGCACCCGATCTAGTGGATGCCACACTGACCTCACGCGCCACACGGAGCTTCCTGTGCGAGAACACGATGTTTGCTGCATGTTCGTTCACGCGCCGAGAGTGCGGCGTGGGCGGCGCGGCGGTGACGAGCGCGGCGCACGGCGCTCAGCCACAGGACGCGGCGCTGCGCGCCATAGTTGTCTACACGCGCTCACCTCACGGGCACGATCGCCGCGGCGCGCGCCCAACCTCACGCAATATGACGACGCGACACGCGCTCCATGCCAAGTTGGGTTGGAAAATCAAGTGCAATCGGTAACTTGCTCATACTCACGCGCGTCTGAGCCGAGCTGGTGTCTCTGCGCGCCGTTTCACGCCTCCGTCTCCGCCTCTGCGTGGTGCTGGCGCCTGTGGCCGCGCCGCCCCCGCCGCCCGGCTACCTTTTCGCTTTTTAATGTCTCTCTAGTTGGGGCGCTGGCCGAGTGAGCCCGTCGCCCCCGTCATTCGGTGTTTTCTCTTGGTGTTAGGTCTAGATGGTGCTTTGGTGTGAGGGAGAGAGCGAGCGAGAGAGCGAGAGGAAGAGAGAGGGCGGCCCGCGGGCCCAGGGAGCGCCTGGCAATGGTACACTACGGTTGGACGATGGGTGGGTCGGCTGTGGCCTGCGGCCGGCGGCGCTGTGCCGGTCGGCCGGCCACCTCGGCGGCCACCCGGCGGGTAGACCGCTCTTACGGTGGGACCGGTGAGCCGCCACCGCGGCCACCGACAGCGCGCGCGTGCTACTTTGTGCTATTCTTAGCGAACTGTTCTACCGTTTGTTAGTTTATGTTTGTTGTTTTGTTATTACCTGTACTTACATTTTATCTCTGCAAGTTCTCGTGAGTGGAGAGACGACCACCCGCCCGCTGCGTGGGCTGGGTTCTCGGGCTCATGTCACCTCGGTTGTACCATATTTATAGTGTGGAGCAATATTTTTCATAATATAAAATGAAATGAATGTGCGAGAGGCAAGTCCCATCTACCCTGGGTATATATACATAGTCCTGTACATTTTGTATGGTAGTTTGTTTACAAAGAAAGAAATAAAAAACACATTACAAGCCTGGCACTTTCATCAGAGAGGGTCGTGAACTGAAACGAATCGTGTGTCGGAGGGGTAACATAGCGGCAAGTAAAAACCAGGAGTTGTGCATTTCTTGAAAAATACACGCTGAAAGTCCCACTAATCACCCCCAGGGAGGGATGACCTCTGCACTCTAGGGTAGCAGACGATCTTTAGGTTCTGTGTCGCTACCGTGCCTCGGGCTGAATTTGCCGAGCAAATCGGTCCAGCCCAGCTCTATTTACCTAGCGGACTGACACGCGCCGCGCCAGCTATCCGATCAATACACTGGCGACGCTGCTGGCCATACGGTATTTATGGAGCTGCCAGAGGGGCCGAGTGATCCTGCAGGTGGGCATCCGACCGCAGAAACGGCCCCGAGCGGCGCCCGACACAGAGCGGTGAGCAGCAAACGACGGCAAAACGGCGGAACCAGGAGCGGGACTGGGAAACGATAGCGGTAAGGAACAGCGAGATCAGCGGTTGAACGCTTAACAATGAAGATCGATGTGAGGCGGACGTCAAAAACCACATCTTTAGAGAATCGTTAGCAATGTGACTCGGCCTTGGTTCTCCCTGGCAAACCGGCCGAAGGGCTTTGTCCGCCCGCTCCGGACCAGGCTCCGGCCCCACGTGTCAAAGATTTTTTCACCGAGTCATGGCCGGCCCAGTTAAGCCCGGCTCACACAGAAGGCTTGGTAGATTTTCCTGCACTCGGACCGGTATTCAGCTGCAGCGTGACCACTGCGAAGCCATGATTTTTATTCTTGCGGTGTCTGTTTTTATTCGGCTGTGTGCGCGGGCGGTAACCGATCTGGCATCGTGTGGGCTTCATGACACCGATTGGCGGGCTTCGTGCGCCGATTACGGACTCGCAGTGCCGGCTGCAGTCCGGTCGCTGGTCGGTGACTTATCGAGCCGTATCGCCGGCTGCACCCTCCGCACCATGCGTTCCACCTGACACGCACACGCGGTACAGGGTTGCACGGTCCCCAGGTCGGCGCACCATATTCGCATAAGCATATCGCTCGGAAATCACATTGCTCGCGAACGAGGCCACCGACCCGGCTGTGGAGACAGGTGTCATAGCGCCCGGAGCAATGAGACAAATATCACGGGCGACAGTATTCAACCTTGAAGTAGTCCTCTGTCGGGCCGCGAGAGCTCAAAATTGGCTCGCGCTCGCGGCCCCTAACAGTGAGCTCGTTACGCGGCTGACCTGCTGAGGGCGGGGCAGCCGACACACCGCCACGCCCCGAGGGCATTCGTCATGGCCGGGCCGTGCTTTTATTAGCCGAAACGTCACCGAAATCGGGTCAATTATGATTTGGGAATGGTTCTCTCTGCCGCGGCTCGGTTGGCCGGCGGTGGCCGGTCGGTAACGGTGCACTATTGATGCGTGCTGTGCGGTGGGCGGGCCGGGGCGTCGCCGCCGTAGTTGCGCTATTGGAGGGTGGGGTGGTGGGTGGAGTACGGGGGTAGCGGGTCACTGCACTCGTATCACTACTGACAGGTGAGAGGCTGAAGCTCGACAGCGGCCGGGGGTTCCGCTCACATTTTGACAGCCTTGGTAGCGAAGTGGTGTGTGACGGGACAATCTGTGCCCGATCAACAGGTACTAATTCTCGCCGAACAACAAAACCGAGGCAACTGGTAGTCAATAAGTGCAGCGCAACAGTTGGGAGGTCGTGATGTCCTCGGTTCGTTTCACTGAGAGTTGGATATAGACGAAATCATATTGGAGTCACGTGGGACGTTGCTGGTGTGCGCATAAAAGTCGGATGACATGTTTCACATTTATTATGCATCACACGAATGAGGACACTGCAAGCGGTACCACGAATTCGTCTCTGGACCGTTAGGTCTGACCGTAGGAGAGCTCAAAGTATCTGAAAAGATTCACTTAATCTGAGCAGCAATGCTCATTTCAGCTAAGTTCGTCGGCGTCCTGTAACAAAACTGCAAACAGAGCGCGTACGCGCACGCTGAAAGGCGAATACCTGCAGTAATTCGAAAGATAATGCGGCCTTGATACCTTTGCTTTTCCTTTGGGCTTTGTAATACTGTAACACATGATACGGGCTTCCTCGCGCAGGCATTTGACATCTATTGGCCGCGCCAAAACTGTCCCTGTGCGGTGCACTGAGGTCGTGCACTGGCGCAGCATGGTATATGCACCAGCCTGACCACAGCAGAGCATTGTGAGCATGCCGATCGTGCACCGCACATAGGGCACAGTGCACCTTGCAGCGCATATTTACATTCATTTTTACCCCACCCTCCGGGCCTCGTCGTCCCCCCCGCGGCTCCGTCCCACCCGGTAACCAAAGTACTATGGCCTTGGATGATATTACACAATGGGTCGTTTCACTCGTCAACTATGTGAGCCAACCTTCGTCCTGAGAGATCATAAAATGGCCTGGATAGCGCTGGTCCGTCCACTTGATACAGGACCAGTCGCCGTGCATAATGCATACGAGTATGTTCTGGCATAGCTTCGGGTAGGATGGGGATCGAATATCAGTCGGAAAGTCTGGCTCGGTACTTCTTTAGTGTTCATCACGTCACTGACGAGTTAGCTCAACAAATTAAATTAAATCATAAGCCAAGAAAAAGCATACTTAGTCACAGGAGTTTCTACAGTCTACACCTTAGGCCTCTTCCGTTTAACACCTGAGGCCTGTCTGTCCTAATCGTCCCACGCGCTCCCTCCAGCTCTTGCAAGCCGATCAACCCACGCCCCCGTCAAGGCCTTGGCTCAAGTACCGAGTGCTCCTTTGCAGAACAGTATTTGCGCTGCCGTCGGTCTCAGATGGCCTTAGCCTGCCCTGAGGCCTTCGGGTTGGTGAAGTTACGGTATTCTCAGCTGTTGGTGCAGTTACATACACATGGCTACGGATGCAAGCTCTGCACGTATTCATGCCGACGCTGGTGGGACCAATCAAAAAGTTTGCATGCTGAACCTAGACTAGAGCACATAATTATCATAAATAATTGTAAATAAAACGCCAAATTGCATCGACCTATTACATTTTTCAGGAGATCATGGAACCAAAAAGTTTCCTGTGCCTGGTTTTCAATAAAGTTCGCTCACGGAACTTCTTCGCCCACACTCAGCATGTTCTTGCAGTTTGCCTACCAGGGGAGCACGGAACCACCACGGCAAGTAGGCTCTACTCTCTGCATCGCAAATCGTCTGACCTTGCACGATTCGTCGTCCAGGGGTGCCGTGGGCGGGTGACGCAGGGCTCATTGGTGGCGCACCCGGTTCATTACAGTTCATCAGTGTGGGTGCCCAAGCACGACTGCAAACCATTCGCCGTCTCTCAACGGCCAGCTTGACCGTGAGAGGAATAACGTAAGCAATGACGTCATTATAGACGTCACCAGTGAGGTGGGTAGGGCAGAGAGCGCCGCTGAAGGGCAGTGAGAGGGCGGGTATTCAGACATGCACATGTAAATTGTGATATGTCTGGCTACTGAAACTCAGGGATCTGCGACATCTAATCCAGTAAGCAAGCACCTCTTCAGCGATGGAGAGCTGCACCAGTGTGCTTCTTTGAGTGTAATGTTGAAAGGGAAACATTTTATCATGATGATGGCGGACGTCCTGTTGAAACGATGGCTGCCAGTCTGCAACTCATCCACTGAGAAAACAGTGTCCCGATTTTCGGGCTCAGAGACCAGTTTTCGGGCTAATGTACCATATTCAAAACAGACAGCACATTTCGAGAATACTTTCTGAGCTAGCGCCACATGGGCTCATACGATCCCTTAAATCGGTATCATTGATCGCAGAAACAGAGCTCAGTCAGTACCCATTATCGGTGTCAAGCTCTAAAACTAGTCTCACTATGATACCAGTTTTCAGCCTGATCCCCATTTTCGAGCTCACCTGATTCCAGTTTGAGGGCTCAAATTGTGTGGTGAAGCCAATATTAGGGCTCAGGTCATCGCTTTTCGGGGCTTTGGTAAAAGCTGGATTGCGTCAGCTGGCTGGCCAGCTGGCGACGCACGAAAGGTATTTAATTTTAGATATACCTAAGCGCGGTAGTAGGATGGACATAAATATTTCAAATGGCTTTAAATGAAAAATTGATTGGTAAATATTCATTCTTTTATATCTAGCATTGATATGTAAGAAGCTCTGCTAGCGCCACCATACGGCGCCAGCTGGCAAAAAATCCAGTTAATACCAGAGCCCGCTTTTCGTCCGATGCAGCCCCTCCTCCCCCCTCCCCCGTGTCCAGCAGCTGCGAATAAGACGAAGCCGCGGACAAACTTTTTTTTTTTGCTCGGCCAGCCTAGCGCCAGTCTCGAGCGGTGGGACAGTTAACCGGCAATTTTGGCCGGGATGCAAAAGTTACGTTAAACAAATGCAAAGTTTGTTTAACGTAACTGTTTAACGTAACTTAACGTAACTAACGTAACTAACAAAGAAACTTATGCAAAGTTTATGTTAACCCGGGAGCAAATAACAACGTGGGAGCCTATCTTAGGTGTGGCAAAGCTAACGGATTACTTACTTGTTGCCGAGGTGCCCAAAGAAGGTACTGGAACCGAAAACACAACATTGGTTCATGTATTTATTAACATTCATACACACAGTCATACTTGTGCAAGGTGTCAGTGTTCGGTTGTGGGGTGTAATAGCCAGGGAAAAAGTTCTATGAACTGAAAAACCCGGCGCCTATTACTTCGCAACATGGTTGTGTATTCAACATGAACTGCAAGGAGTGCAGACGACATTGCCTGTGCTAACTTAACGTCTCACGGGCAGCGCCGCGCTCTGACACCTTGGTCCCAGAAGCGGCGGCGTTTCTGACCGCAAATCGCCGGAGAGCCGGTCGACGCCGTTGAGGGGACTGAGCAGGCCGCTGCCAGCTCCACCTTCACGTCCGTGCGGCGCAGCTCGGTGTGCGGCGGCGGCTCATCGCGCGGGCCGCACCCGTCCGTCCGCTGCACGAGCCGCTTTTCGATCCGACAGCGCAACACCGG